CTTCACATGGGGATACATCTGCCAGCATTTTTCACAGACAGTCTACATTTTAGGAGCTGGACTTTTGTTATCCTGCTTGGTGAGTATTTTGCTAAATAAGGATTTTGGAGGAAGATTATCAGTTTAAAAATATTTAGGATTTTTAAAATCAATTGACTGTTTTTTGTTTTTGGTTGATAAGATTTTTAGTTGTCAATTGACCTATCTATTAATCTGACTATGCCCTTTTCTTCAATATTGATGCTAGGTTGGTTAAGCGAGACTAGCATATTTGAATTGTTCACATGTACACACCAAATTTTCCACATTGTAGCAATTTGTTTCTAAACAGTGTTTTTTAAATGCCCTATTTTAACAATGATTGGCCAGAGCTACCTGTCAATCACTTCAGGAGTATATGTCGATTACAAGGCGAGGTACAATTGGCTTTAAAAGTTGTAAAGTCAGTATAAGCCACGTGTACCAGTTGAATGTCTAAGCTACACCATGTAACTCATTTGTATTTATTTCTGTTTTCCAGCTAACACTTCCACCATGGTCGATGTACAGACTTAAACCCCTACCATGGCAAAAAGTGAAAACAGCTGCCAAGGAGAAGTAGACTGTGATCATGACCATTTTCTGTATTCCCCTCGTTTGTTAGTGGTCACGTTTTCAATATAAACGTTTGAATCCTTTCTGTTTCCTTATGTGATGGCTGTAAACTACTGCGCGATTGAACTAATTGGAATATGATGTAAAGTGGTATCAAGGTAACTTAGTATGTTGGCACGTTGGTGATGGTAGGAAAATTGGCAAAGATGCAGATAGATGTGGGCAACATACTCTTTATAACACTAGAGAGACTGTACTGGACTTTTATTTACCTCTCTAGTTTCCTGCGCTCCTTTCAAACAGCGCAGCTATGTCGGAATGCATTGTAAAACTGTGTACAGACGAGCTGTTTTCCTAAAGTTTTGGGACCCATCGACAGATTTTATTGTCTGGTACTCTGTGACTGTCAGCATTTGTGGTGACGTTCAACTTCTAGTGATAGCGAAACCTCGAATGCATGTTAGTTTCAAATAAAAAAAACATGTATACATCAAACATGTTATTTTCTAGCACATTCTGCAAAGCCTTCAAGAATATCACGAATGATGATAAGCATGATAAGGCATGTAGTCATGATATAATTTATTATTAAAACAGACACAACCACGGCCTCTGTATGCCTCAAAATTGCACGAAACCACAGAAACATTCTCACAAAAGTTACATGACAAACCTATTAATTGATCATATTGTTTTTTGTCATCATTTTACAAATGCTGGTTATGTATATGTTGGGCAATTGGAAGCAAACCGATAACCGTATATTACTCTACAATGCAAATTGCAACATGAAATCTTGTGCAAGTGAATGTATAAAATTTCAACGAGGATGTACATCATGATAAATTTCAACTGTTACCATACAAAAATCGATTCGAAGCTGTTTGTATATCAGGTACAAAGGATTCTATAAGTAAAGTATATATAGAGTTGTTTTAATAAATTGTTGGCTATAAATAAAGCTACAAATTTGGCAAGGATACTAAAATACTTTATATAACTTCATTTCACATTTTGAGTATAAAAAAGTGATGGCACAGCCATGATGTAAAAAATATCAATAATGACAAGACTAATACCTACATACAAATATTCAAGTTCATAATTTCCACTCGTATAACTCTGAACGCACATTACAAGGAATTTTATTCTGTCGAGTGGAGTGAACCGTTTTTCCATCACCTGCACAACAACATGAAATTCGAAAGAAATGTTCAACCTTATATGGTACATGGACGTCGTCCATATAACCTTGACATCACCTTGTACATAAAAGTGTGTATATTCATTGACTGCAGAAGATGGCACCTGATTTCACATCACGTCTTAACTGGTAATTAGATTCCTTCCCCCAACGCTGGTCCTTTAACAGAATGACCCCGAGATCGTAACTGGTAATCGGATTTCTTTCGCCCAACGCCGGTCCTTTCAGTGTGTGATCTCGAGAGGAGACGTGTGTGCAGCGAGTGACTCTGTTTCCCCCCGCGAGCTAGCTCGACTTCCGACGCAGCAGCTTAAATTTCTTCGATGGATCTGGAATGAAGTATTTGTCCCAGATCTCTTGGAAGGCAGCCACCCGCTCCCACGGCTTGTGTGGTCCGCTCCAGTGTAGAAGTTTCGCATTGTGAACAAATTCAGATGAGTACCTGGTGCCTGCAGATAGGCCTGCAAGTAGAAAATCCATTTACCTGCGTCAGTACTACAACACACATCAAACGAGAGAATAACTCATTCATGTACAGAGTCTCACCCATCTGTCAGTTACGATCATTAATTGTTCCAAAGCTTCACTTGTGAGTTGATTGTTTGAAATGCGAAACTCAATCTGATTTGTGCGTGGTTTCCGTTGTATGTGCGGGTTGAGGCTCGTATGCCTTATTTGTAAAATAAATAATTATTAATGGCTCTGTTACATGTCTTTGTCTACATGTCCAGATGTTCATAATTTTAGGACTCACAGTACTCTGTAGTGTACCCGACATTGTGTAAAATTTAATCCGCAGCATCATCGCTAGCAAAACTGCAACAGTGCTGCCAGTTTAATGTGCAGTGGAATTTCTGTGAAGCTTTATAATTGCTTAGAAATAGAGTTGCTCACCCAGGCTTCTGACATGCCAGAGAGGATCGAGAGTTGAGTAGCGATTATAGAACACGATCATCATGGGAGGTTGCGAACCCCCACCACCCTTCTGATTTCCATAAATATCCTCTCTGTAAACAAAGTTGCTATATTAATTAGATTTCGCTTGGTTTGCGAGAGCAGAGAATGGCACAGCAATTGCATCAAGTTGTGACGTGCCAAGCCAGGCTTAATTCACATTTACCTTTACAAGTGCCACATGTTAATGTAACATCTATCGCGCTGTCGTTGCGCACCTAGTGCGGCACCTCGGGCCGAGTGGAGACGCGCCACTTCAGATGTCGAAGGACACAACTGCGCTACAGCACCAACAAGCGTTCAAGTTCCACTCGACACACGACCGAAAAAAAGCCCACCTAGTATTCAGCTCCATCCAGCGCACGAGTTCGGCAGTGATGTTCTCGCGCTTCCAGGCGGCTACGTCGGCGACGTAGACGCCCGTGTTGAATGAACACGCTTCCGGATCGATGTTCAGGGCCTTCACATGGGCGTTCCTGAAGTTCACGTAGCTGCTGTACGTAGTCGGGTAGAAACTGAAGCGTTTCGATGTCGAATGGCAGTCTTCAGCAAATGCTGCCAGGTGCCCCTCTCCGAGATCCGTGTTGTAGAGCTCAGCGATGTCACCTGCAGGCGGGAATGGTATGAGATATCATCACAGATGGAACCAGCCTTCTCACTAATACATGTAAGCGCAGCAGTAGGACTCTCAATGTTCAATTCTAGTCAGAATATTGATAATGTAAATGTGTTCATCAGGGCATCTTTCTATTTTATACAAGTGCAAAATGCATATTGGTTATTTAATATGAACTGCTATTTCATAACCCTAGCACAAATTGATTTTGTTCCTAATTCAATTCAATAGTTATCAATTGTATATCCATAATAGGGTATGTTTTACTTCTGTCAACCCAACACAATCGCCCACTTGGTAATATTATACCTGTAAATAGAAAGTTTATGCAGCTTATTTCCTTCAACAACAAGAAGTTTTCCACGAGATTTTATGCATAGCTCCTAAAGATAGGTTCATGCATAAGAGAACATGTCAGCTACTATACCCTGGACAATGATGTCATCATCAATGTATACCATTCGACCCCGTATCTCAGGAAATAGTTGAGGAGCAAAATATCTAGCATAGTTCATCTGAAATAGAAATAGTAAAATAACAATTATCGTTGACCATTACCAAACCTAAATTCATTCACTATATCTGGAAGCCTTTGCTTACATCAAAATGTTAAAATATTTAGGAATCTAGCGGGCAGACAATCTTTCACGTTTTTAACTGTTCTCTTTCGAGCCATGTAAGTTAGTGTAATGCAGAAGATTCCAGGTAAGTAATAAACAAATGTAAATTAAAAATAAAGTTCTCAACATCCCACCTCACCAGCCACAATATACTGGTTTTTAAGCTAACTAAATCTATAGATTTTGGCTATCATTTAGGTTAACAATAAAGTGGAAACCAACAAGAATTTCACGATAATTGGAAATAAATATTTCACATCACTGAAAACTCACGAAGCATTCAGAATTAACACAATGCAATCAATCATCTGCATACCGGACTGCCTAAGACCTCCCTGCCTCCACGAACTTTTATTTTTCCCTTAACGAGGTCTTCATTAAAAATCCTGATTAATCGTTGTACATTTCGCAACTTTGTGTTTGCCAACCATGCTCTGCAAATGTGAACGAGAAAGATTAGATACTACACATGTTACTAGGAAAAATTTACCAGTTCCATGTCATGTGTTCTAAATAACTTGAAACTCAGCACATACAGATGGACACGTGTGCTTGTATTGTCATTTTCCACTATCCACAACACTTTGTCAATGGTAGATCACATTGTGTCCATATAGTTATTGACTTTAAAATGTTTCTATACGAAATTTGTCTCCTCGATATTAAATGTATAATTTCACCCTTACCTATAGTGGTCATAACTTTGATGCGATGTTGCTAAATAAAACTTCACAGAATGATTGGTATGCTGCACAATGCTGTTTATTGTTGCTATAGCTCCAGGCAACGTAACTTTGTCTGATGCTATCACTATAGGGATAGCTTTAGAGTTGTAGCTTGGTCCAGCCTGAATTGGTGGCAACTCACGTACTATTCAAACACACGAGCAACAACACGTTAATTAAAAGATGACAATGGTTCAACATCCATTATTTTCAACATTATTTCATTTTTTAACATAAAATTGAACAAGAGGCCTAGATAAGTACTACTGGCTGTAGTTTCCTCACCCTCATTGTTTCCAAGTACACATTTCAGCACCATCTAACATGTATGCACAACCAGATTTCCCTTATCAGTTATTATTTCATTTGAATTATAAATAAAATAGATTTGCAATCAAAAATGTTAAATTGTATTAATTTGTCATCTTGAAATATTTATTAACGTTTAATTCATATTATATATGAAAACAACATTGCCAAATTTGCCATTAGAAACTTATTATAATAACCACACATATGAAATACAACTGTTAATATACTACCATCATCATTGAAGCCTGAGTCTATTCCTATGATATTTTCCTTTGATCTCTGAGATGCATTTCTATTTTCATTCTTGCTCTGAGCGAGTGTGTACAGAAGGTAGCACGCACACAACACGACGAATACAGCCATAACTGCAAATAAAAACAGCTTTTGAGATTACAGGCCAACTTCCATAGATAGGCAATAAAATATAAACTTTCCCAGTTTTGCAACAATCGTTTCTGACAGAAACATATCTGTAAAAATATATTAACAAAATAAAAATTTGCTTGTTTTTCATTTTAGGCATACCAATCAATATAACTTGTCTGTGTTGTTAATTATTCATATGAACTGAACTTCAATCGACCTGTCCGCCTAACATAATAGAAAGACAGCTGTAGCCAATCATTAATTGTTGGCACAAGACATTCCAAATGGCAATGCTAGGCAATACAGTGCCAGAAATTAGACAATTTTGAGCACATGCATACAAACAAGTGTAAACTATCTAGCTTTGACCGACCTAGCAACAACACCGCAGAAGGGAGAGGTTATCTCACTAAGACGGATAGCTGAATTTTGGGATTAATGACTGTTCAGCGATTATCACAAGATTCCTCAACAACTAGTCATTTAGCCTGGAAATCGAATGCCCTCTTACCAGTCAAAGAGCTACAGCTGCTACCATATAATGTAAAATGTACCACAGTTACTTGGAATGTTTCAATTTAAGATGACATAAGTGAACACAAAATGCATTTACTACCAAAATCTTAACGTTTAAAACTATTCTCTTTTGTTTATTATTGTTGCTTTTGGTACTTTTGCGCTGGCAAGTGTATGTAAACGAGTGTCAGTGCCATGAAGGTGAGTGGTTGGTGGTCATAATGGGCTGAGGAGCGTATACACTTGCTTCTTTGTTGGTGGCAGAGTTTGATGAGGGGGATCGGTTGGAAGTGCGGGAATCGGTTGTCTCACTCTTGTGTTGTTATCTACTCTTGATAGTATGCATGTTAAAATTGTTATGTACTGTTTTATTTATTGGCCAACCTTTGTTAGTTGGTCGGTCTTAAAAGCTCTTCAGAGCTTACGTTTCTCGTTGTAAACATACCGACTATAAATAAAGATTACTTGAACTTGAACTTGATTGGTAACTGCATCCCGTAAATCGTAAGACGTACCTCTGCAAGCAGCAACACACAATTTCACCACACACACACCACTGTGCAGAAAATCACAAAAAGATAGCGAATACATAACTATACACACTCTATCTTTCTGTGAGTTTGTGCACAGTGGCGTGTGTGCTTGTGAAATTATGTATTGTAGAGGAGATCTGAACAACATTTACACAGAATAAGGTTTATCGCGATTCGGTAAATATCACCAGATGGCGCACCACCGCAAAGCATGATGGGATGGAAAAAGAGTCATCGAGCGACGCTCGTAGGCTAATATACGCATGGCTATGGGCGGTAGTAAAGTGTACTAACTATCATATCTCGCGAAAGAGTTGTTACATTTCTATAAATGCTAGCTCTTATAGACACATGTCTTAGCTATAATCTCTGTGCATTTTGAGTTTATTGAAGCCCGATTATCTAATTAATTAGCAAATATATGCATGCGGTATCACGGATACTGACGCTCAAGGGGTCGTTGTCGTAACAGGTACTACAGATATGTACCTGAGGTACATATATGTATACACAAAGTGTACCAGATTTGTACTACAGAAGTGTACCCTAACCCTAACACTAACCCTAACCCTTACCCTAACCCTAATCCTAACTCTAATCCTAACCCTAACCCTAAACATACCTCACATAAAAATATAAACATAATACTAAACAACCTAAAACTACCTCCTAATTATATAAAAATATAAACATAATACTAAACAACCTAAAACTACCTCGGGTACATATCTGTAGTACCTGTTACGACAACGACCCTTCGTGCGATACTGACGCCTATTGCGTGCAGCCGGCTATACGCACGGCGGTAGGAAAGTGTACTAACTATCATATCTCGCAAACGAGTCGAGTTAGATTTCTAGAAATCTTTTACCGTCTTTTACACATATACTATACTTACTTGATTTAATATGGAAACGCATAATGCAATAAGGGAAAGTTTACTCCATGATAATATTAATATGAAAACTAGTTATATTTAGTTCAACTTCAAGCCTTCACAGTTCACTCAGCTTAGCCTGGACTGACACATAATGGACGCTGCCATCTTACTTCGCTCTTATCGCCATCGCGTGGCGAAAAATATGTACAAATCACAAATGTAATAAAGATGGCAGCACCATCCAATCAAATTTAATTAAAAAATCAAAAACAATTTTTCCTTAGCAGGATTGGAATCTGTGTCTTTCACCAGAATATTTGTGGGGGATATATTATTTTACGTGTTTTTCATTTAAAATTTTAATGCCTAATGTCCCTAATGCATAGATTATCGTTATCAAATTTTATGAATTCAGAATTTTATTGTAAAAGTATGCTATGTATTGTATATGATGGATAATTGCCTAATTAAATAAATAGATATCGTATAACACGTTATATAATATATATAATATCTATATAAACGTGTTATAACGTTATAATATGCCCTAATGTCACTGTGTTTGTAAAGATATTTCCAAAGATATATCTGCGTAGATGACGTACAGCGTAGATAAAATATTATACAGAAGATAATACAGAAGATATACAGCGTAGATGAAATACATTATACAGCAATGAAACATGGAATTAACATTAAAAACTAATTGGAACGTAAAATTAAGAAAACGAGCCTTCTAAATAACTACATATAAATGCTCTACATATTATCAAGAGCTAATAGGCTTTAAATGTGTTTATTAGCTCTTGATATTATACTGATACAGTAACACTATGGTCAGTTTATTTTTTGGTTTATTTCCATTTATTGGAATATTTTCTACAAACGCCACTAAAATTCTACACGGGCAGAGACTACGTCACGAATTTTCCATGGTAAAATTTGTAAAAAAAATTGCCATTTTTTAACTAAGAACTAACGTTACTAAATATATCCTCAAACCCTCACCTAATAAAAATGTTTTTACGTTGGTTAAATTTGCAAAAATCTAGACGATTTGGTAATTTCGGTTGTCTAACACATATTTCCCCAGTACTGTTCAAATACTGGCGTCTCTCTGTTTTTCACCGGCAAATTAGGGCATATAAAGAAGGTATATAAGCATGAAAAGTAAACAGAAACACTAATTGTATTTTCACACATTTTATTTTGTACAAATAACACACAAATATACTACTTGATGGTGCTAGAAATTCGTGACGTAATCACTTTAAGGTGTTTATTAGCTCTTGATATTATACTGATACAGCAACACTATGGTCAGTTTATTTTTTGGTTTATTTCCATTTATTGGAATATTTTCTACAAATGCCACTAAAATTCTACACGGGCAGAGGAAACGGAGGTTGAAAGCTCCGCACCGGTTAGTGCTGTTACGTAGCGAGAAAATCCAGAACTACGAGTTGAAATGACCATAGGAAATGACATTCGCCATCGGCGTGGCGAAAAATATGTACAAATGTAATAAAGATGGCAGCACTGCCCAATCAAATGTTTAAAACAGGAACAAAATACTAACTCCTTTTTAGCATTCAATATGTATTTGCGGTTGTTATGCAGATAGTTAGTTATATTGAAGTGCCTGCATTTTGAGGAGTCTGGCAATGCGCGTATTCTTTATTTAAAAATGTGGCCCTATACCGCGATTTGTACTCTGCAGTAATTTATGAGCGGTTTATATATATATATATATATATATATATATAATATATATATATATATATATATAAACCGCTCATTATATATAATATAATTATACGTGCAGTGTGTGATGATAACATTGAACTGTAATGGCGGACGTAATTAATGTTGCTATTGTATTATTATTATTATTATTATTATTATTATTACTATTATTTTTTTTCATGAAAATCGCTAACGATACAATCATGTTAAGTCACTGTGTGATTAAAAGTAAAGCTAGGCTAAGGTTGAGCTCAAGCTAAGATTATGGCAACGTGCAAATAAAGCTTACTGAGCGAAAAAGAACGCCTGACCTGCATGTTACTAGTGCACACTGATTAGTGAAAATGGGTCTGGCAATATATTTTTTATAAAATAACCATAGAAATATAATATTCCATGCTATTATATTACTTTGAAAATTACGCAATGGCTTATGGGTGTATTGGATTGCGTATTATATGTATGTGACCATGGTGCACAGTTCTGACAACACATTATCAGTGAATAATAATATATATAATCAGCTAAAGTTATTCACTCCTGATATTATGAACGGTCTCACATTTGAGAGTGAATAGCATATTTGACATTTTTTTTTTCAAGTTGTAAAGTATATAATATATATCATCATCATCATCATCATCATCATCAACATCATCAACATCGTATATCATTTCAGTAAAATATAAAAATGGTTATACAAATGTGAAATTAAGGTATGATTTTATATATATATATGTGCCTTGTAATCAAATTTAAATTTCTTATTCGAGAAAGGGATACATGATATAGTTTAATTAAACAATTTGCTGGCACTTACTCTTGTTACAGAACAGAATATAGGATGTAGTTATATATATATATTAACGTACTTATATTTTTCTAATAGTTTGTAATTATTTTTCTAAAAATAATACTAATAAACTAAAAGGTTTTTCCCCCACATAATGCATAATTACCCTAAAGCCGTATATACATATCGTATTATATCAGATATTATTGTACATACGCCGAAATAATTATGATAATAGGCCGTCCACAGTGCCTAACTAAAACCTCCCCAAGCATAACCGAAGTTGCTTTTACACCTATGGACGGGGCAGCTTTATTTCGGCAGCGCGCAATCAATGCAGTGGAAAGGCAGGCGGCATCACGTGATCGAACGTCACCACGCTTCAACTTCAAGCAAGTTGGATGAGCTGCCGAGAGGGAATGCACCACATTTTCTGTGTTTGTGCAGCGTTAGCCAGCATGAATGCTACATGAGCGAGTTCTTAGAAGATGGTACGAGAAACAAGACACTTATGGGTTGGAAATCTACCGGATAACGTAAAGGAAGACCGTATTTTGGAGCATTTTGAACGGTATGTGCAAGACTGTCTTCCTGTCTACAAAAAATTGCGTTCTTTGCTGATCGAGGCAACTTTGAATCGGATACTTTGTGCCTATTTTACCCGCCATATTCGGATATATTTGGTTACTGTTTTGTTAGCATGCTGTTCCGTGTCTCACAGTGAGCTGTGGTAAAATCAGTATTGTGGATTTTATTACGTTGGTAACGAAAAATGGAGATTTGTACGGTCGCTGTCATTTCAATCATGGCGTGCAGCATGGCGTGCCCATCGCTGACCTTTCTTCGCTTGACCCTCCCTGCGTGGCTTGTCGATGTGCATTGTGCGGTGTGTTCTTATCCAGGATTAACAACGGACGTACATGATTTTTTCTCACCGAATGTAGTGGAAATACCGAAAACATGGATTATTATTTTTTGAGACAGCATGAGTTTGTCTGGCATTGCATATATGGTGCCAGTGTGAGTGTGCATTGTGGATTTTTTATACCGTTTCTGTAGGCCTATCTTCTCAGGCGTGGAATTTACGCATATTTTCTGTTGTAAATGACTAAATAATTGTTAAGTTATGTATGAGCTCAGTATACTTATGGTGAATTGTATCTGCTTCAGTAATGAATTACATATTTCTTGTATCTAAATTTCCTCCAGTTTCAATTGCCAATATCATTTAAATTAATCAACTACTCTCGTCTACGGTAGGCAGTTTATTTCCTATACCAAAATCTATTAAAGTCAAAGTATCACGTATAGCAAATATGTTCATCATGAGTATACACTATACTTTTCCTAGTATATTGTTCGTAATAATGGATTTTAAAAGCAGCCACAATACTATATACAACAATGGTAACTAATGGAATTGGCACAAATGATCTGAAACAATCTATAGATGCATTGCGTAACTGTGTTCCAGGTGTGAAATGCTAGCTATTAAAAGTCTGGTGGAAAACGTGTACACTGAAGTATATGCACTGCGTATATGGTTAACGTTTCTTATAACTTATAAGACAATTTCCCGATGCTAAATTTTTCTGATTACAGTTAAGTTGAGTTAACCTCAAAGAATATTTTTGAAAGAAGGAGTGCGTCAAAGTTGATCAAATTTATATATCAACACTACAGATTGCAGCATTATTGCTTAAATTTGACTAGAGAAGAAAGAAAATTATATTGTGGAATAACAGAAACATAAAAAAACTGAACTTAAACAGATTATTCGAGGATGACACATGCCAAAAGAAGTGATCAGACTCAGGATCTACACCAATAATTTCTTTTTAGTCATAGTGACCTGTGTTTGTAGTGAGCTGGGGTTCAATTCTAGCTATTCTAGACAGAAATTTGTAGTAAGGTAAAATTTAGATTTAGTTGTACATCTTTGTAGAACTTCCCTGATTACCTTTACATTTACGTAGGTAATGTAGATCTTAGGTTGGGCCATAATAAAAATATTGTTTGTTTGCCCTCATTCGACCGGCCCGGACAAAAAGGGGCCGACTCAAAATTTTTTATTGATCTTTCCCATTCTTTTTTTTTACAAATTGTATCACTGTACATTATATAATCTGTAGGCAATACATTATATGTACCAGTACCAAGCAAAACAAACATTCAGCATAAAAGGTATCTCCACACAAGCACACCCGAGCATGTAGACACCATGCTGAATTTGTAAAAAGACCCCTAAAAAGACCCCTAAGACCCTGAATTTGTAAAAATTCAAAAAAGAAGCCTACTACCGACCTATCTATACTAATATTCAAGAAGGCATTTGAACTGATTACAGTTACAGACGTTACAGAATGTTTTGTAACATAATATCATTTCTAATGTATATCAATGGTGAATGCAGAAGTGACAAGTAAGTAACTATTAGTTTACAGTTTTATCACCAAAAAATTCTCCTGAGCCAGCCAGTGTGTTCTGGCTACTCAAACATACACAAACATACACAGTGTTTGTACACAAACTTGTACGGCAGTTACCGTAGTCCCACAGTGAGTTCCATTAATATTGTCTGTGCGTTTTGCACGTGCAAAGCTGGTATGATGTTCATCACTCAGGCTACAAAAACTCGGCA